CTTAAAAGTCTAATTTGGAGTGGCCTTACAAAAAGTTCTCAAAATTTTTGCAAACATATTTTTGCCATTGTTATCTACTGTGAATCCTTTAAATTTCCAGCTGAAAATTTCAGCAAATATAGAACAAAGGTTATTCCGAATAAGGAGTGCATAATAATAACACAGCATAAATATAAATTGTGTGTTTATTACTGTGCACAAGTTCCTTATTCGGAATATACTACAGCATTCTCATAGATCTCGAACTAAGGCATTGCTGCGAGAGCTGTCGTCGTCAAATGTTTGTACCCAGAATGCACACTGGGATAGGATTATTTTAAGGTACATGCAAGTGTGAAATGTAATTAACCTAACATTCCACATTTTAAACTGAACCCCAAACAGATGAGTTGCAATACCACGTAGTATTTACATTTAATTTGCGATTGTTGCCTGCCAGAATGCCTGACTGGAAAGTTTGGAAATTGCGCGGTAGAGATTTCGAAAATTTAATAGTAAATATATAGAAAGCATCAAAATTGCACTCCGGAGATATCCGCTGCACGATACAAATTTTCCACACTGGCCAGAATGCGCGCATATGCTATTTTAAAAAGCCTTTGCACCATGACATTTAATACAAGCTTTCAAAATAAGCAAATATTTAAATGCAAATTTCAATAAAACTTCCAAAAATCCCAGAGTGCATTCCATGCACGTTTTGTGGAAGATCTTCGGCGTGAGTTTGAATTGCTGGCGCACAATCACGTCGAGGTTGGCACACAAGTTTTGAGTTTTGGTGGTTGGCGCAGCATCAAATGTTTAAGCGAGACTTTGAGTATTAATAATCGCCTGGTGATTGGCCTCTATAATTATTTAGGGACGCGAGAAATTTGTGTTTCCGGTTGTAATAGTGGCTAAATGGTGGTTATAACTTGTGATACAACAGTAACAAAACTCATTATTGCTCATCAGCAAAACATTTTATTCATCAGTGCGTTACACGCCTTTTTAGCAAGTTAAAATTTTAAGCAACTTAAGTAACTATTAATGAAAAATCATGGTGCCCGCGATCAGCCGGCGCATAAGTTGACCTCACTTGGCGCACGGTAACACTACCTCAGATTATCTTTGGCGTGAGGTTTACACGGAATGCACCCTGGTAAAAATCCAATTAAAATAATCATCTGCTAAATAAATGCAGGCTCAAGTGGCCATGAAACAAAATTAAAATAAAGGGTATTCAGATAAATTGCAATCGCCAATTGGCACGTGTGACGTGTGCAAAAAGTCAAAAACTCATTAAAACTGCACAAGTAGTAGCTATAAACAATTTGACAGTTTTGGAAGGCTAAATTTAGGTAATATTTCCATGTAAATAGATTCTAATATACTTACATCCGTTGTCAGATAACACCAAGTTAATGAAGATGAGTAAAATGAACAGGAAAGAAAATATTTTACTTGGAATATTTGAATTATGAATCATCCTGTCTTTGTTTACATCTGCTGTTTGCGTTATGCTTACATGAATTTCTTCGAAAGGATTTACCGCGTGCGAAGGAAATCACGGGCGACTATTTGTCTCAGCCGCTGAGCAAAAATAACGACGTTTCATTTTGGTCGCCATTTTGGATTTCTAAAAATTTTTCTTTGCTGATATTTGACAACCTCGTCCGATATTTGATTGTTTTTACGTGTTATATGTGCTTTAAATCACTGTTTTGAACACAATGAGCAAGCAGGTTGAAAACGTAGCCGATGAAGAACTGAACGTGGAAGAATTGGCTGTAACTTCAGCAGTTCTCATGGCCGGAGCACACCATCTTGGCAAGCAGTGCGAGCAAGATTTTAAAAAGTTCATGGCATGTCGATATGACACGCGAGACCCGAGAAAATGCTTGGAGGAAGGACGAAAAGTGACTAGCTGTGCGCTACAATTTTTTAAGACTGTGAAAGCGAACTGTAATGACGAATTCGCCAAATACTGGACATGTTTGGATCATAACAATCAAGAATTTGGTCACTGTAGAAAACCTCAAGGATTCTATGATTCCTGCCTGTTGGATAAACTGGGATGGAAGACTGAGCAGCCAGTACACTTAAAGTTGTAAAAGTATTATGAAACAATGGCTAGAACTTTATTAACTGCCTCGATATGTTGACTTTATTCCATAATTTACAATGTGACTTCGTTGCTTCGTGTTGGTGGTCTTTGAATATTATGAAATTATATGATATCAGTTGGTATATATATTTTACCCTGTCACTATTTGACTTGCAGCTGGTCACATTTCAAGGTGTACTAAATGATGCATTTGTAGTTTACTGTCGTTCCAATTGAAGTGTTCCTCAAATATTGATTCAATACATTACCTCAGGCTGACCAATTCATTTCATCAAGTTCGTCGAGATATTCATACACTTCCTGTGAAAGAGCCAATTCCAAGAATTTGTTCCAACAAAGGTGATTGGTGCATTCCAACTATTCAATAGGAAGTTTACAATTATACTAGGAAGTGTATGAATATTTCGAGGAACTTGATCAAATGAATTGGTCAGCCCGAGGTAATGTACTGAATCAATATTTGAGGAACACTTCAATTGGAACGACAGTAATAAAGAGGCTGTCAAGTCCGTTCTGCTCATGAGCATGTTTTGTTCACATTTCTTGTTTCAAACAATAGACAATTTAATTAAAATTTTATTAATTTTAATTAAATTATCTATTATAATAGTTTTTGTTTGTGGAAACACCACGTAAATTTATTACTGCAAAGCTTTCGATCTGTAAGCCCGGATCTTCATCAGTGCTAATAATATGTGACTTGTTTAATTCACATGCCCTTTTTAAATTAGATTAAACAAGTCACATATTATTAGCTCTGATGAAGATCCGGGCTTACAGATCGAAAGCTTTGCAGTAATAAATTTACGTGGTGTTTCCACAAACAAAAACTATTATATGTTTTATCGCCATGCAAACCTACAAAGAACTTAAATTATCTATTGTTTGACCCACAGATCGGAATTTTAATTAAATTATCTATTGTTTGAAACAAAAAATGTAAACAAAACATGTGCATTTCATGAGCAGAACGGGCTTGATAAAGATAAACTGTAAAAGTCAAATTCTAAAAGAAATAAGCTGATCCCAACCCCAGCCCTATCCCCTAGAGGTCGAAGAGAGGAAACTAGTCAGGAGTAAAAGTTAACCCATGAAGTTGCATTGTGCCCTAATGCTCCCTACTTCATTATTTTACTCTGTCTAATGCCAGATGATTTTACTCACCAAGGGGGTTAAACAAGTTTTAGGTGAAATCACTCAGGCAAATGGAAAATGTCCTGAAGCTGACTCGAACCCAGGAACTAGAATGCAGCAGATGCACGTCACTGTCTGAGGTGCTGCCAAGCTCATGCTGCTGCAGTGCTGCATGTTATAGTGACTGCCAGAGACATAACTGGCTACCAGACAAATAGGCACTACGTCACTTTTATATGCCTTCCCCCTCTGGGAAACTAGTCGGCTAATTTCGAGAACATGGGGCAAATTTTCAGCTGGTCCAGTTGTTTACACAGTACAACTCAAGTTCTAAGCAAGTTGCATGCGACAGTTTTAGGCAAAAGTTGTGCAGTGTAAATCAGCCTATAAAAATTACCTACTCTGTACAACCTAATGTGATATGCCACACCTGTCACCCATTTTCCCAGTAAAATTGACATACTTCATCCAACCGCCCCACTTAGTATAGACTACCATTGAGTATAAATTTCCTGGATTCGAAAGAGATTTTTCAATAGGGCCTTTTGAAGTAGGAATATTTATCCCACACAGTAAAACGCGCAGACGATATTAGATTTGTTGGGACAACTTGTTGCGAGTCTGTTGGCATAACAACGCGTTCCAGACTTGTCAACAACTTGGAACAAGCAGAGGCAGTGCGAACACGTCTTGTTGACAACAGGGGGCTTTCATTTTCATATTTTAGCGCTTTTAATATGAAAGAAAACAAGAGGTCAAACTTCACGAGAGAAATTCAAATGTTATTGTTGTATGGAATTTTACTATTATGTATGAAGTATGTATGCCTGCGCTTCTGCATGTAGTATTAACAGTTTAAATGCAGTTTCTTATTTCGTTTTAGCAGTTTCAATTCCATATTTCATACAATTCTGGAGTTGTAGACGTTTGTTGCCTTGTTTGTTGTTTTCGTTTTGCTATGCATCCTACAACAAAACAAAAGTTTCCTTTTCCGATTGGCCCTAGCAATTTTTACGGTAAATATTTCAGCAAAATGACCATACGTCTTCTGAAAAACATTACTTTAACTTTTATATGCTTAGTTTTTATCGATAATTATTGGAAAACACGTTGATTTTGACTGGCCACCTTATTTTATAACCCGAACTCTTCCAAGCTTGGTGGGAATAAAGGATCACTTCATTTAGCCAATCAGATTGCGAGCTTTTTTGGATCGCGATCTGATTGGTTAAAATGAAGGCAGACCAGAAAGTAGACAGGTACCTACAAAATGGTGAAATAGCTGGTATCGTAGAGCACTAGCAGGCTACTGACCAACCTCGTACCCAGGCTCTTACCTTCGCCCTGGGTACGAGGTTGGCTACTGACGCTACGGCAATTGCTAGATAGTATACTTCAAAATAAGGTTTGTTGAGATAAGTACTTTTAGTGTTTAGAGTTTAAACTATATTTATATGGTTGATATTATTTAGCATAAATTAACATAACGTACCGTAATACAGTTAATATATACAGTACATCGGACACGTGACTATGCGTTCGTTGCAGTGCTTCCATTTTCAAGGAAATTTCCTTTTCTAAAGAAATTCTAGTGTCGAAAAGGAAAATCTAAGGAAGAGAAAAAATCTAAGGAAATCTAAGGATTTTTTCCCAACAACTTAAATATTCATCCAAGTGCATTAGTGCAGAAGAATGTTTCGCTATTTCTTGAATTTTTGAGTGAATTATCAATTATGTTCAATTAAAAATCTGATTTTAACTTTTTCCTCGTGTTTCCGAAAACTTCCGAAAGTTTTTGAGCGACAGGATTTGGTATCTTTTGGCGCCAAACGCTGTGAATTAATTATTTATATCAATGGAAAGGTATATGTTGTAAACTCACTGAACAAATATTTAATTTTAAACAGTATAATAGCCTGTGGTTTTTTAGCTAGCAATTATCTTTGTTAATTGTGCTATTTTGTGCCTTTAAAATTGATTAAATCCTTTGTATTGCTACAAAAGCACTGCAAAGGTCTGCAAACCGCCTAATGAAATTTCAAGGAATTTTCAAGGAAATAACGTATACAATCTAAGGAATTTAGAGAAATTTTGATGACAAAAATGAGAAATTTTGATTTTGAAAATGGAAGCACTGGTTCGTTGAACGTTATTTAGATCCGCCATTATCGGTGTAGTTGTTGTTTTCAAGCGGGAAAACTATATTTTGTGAACCTTTTAGTTTCTTTTACAACAATAAATTACATAATCTAACAGGTTATGGGCCCAGGATCGTGGTAATGGATAGCCAAACGATAAAATGGCTAGTTTTTAACGGAAAAGCTGAAAACTACACAGCATGGAGCACAAAGTTCACCGCGTATATGCAAACGAAAGCTTTATACAAAGCGCTTCTCGGGAAAGAAGTTGTTAGATTATGTAATTTATTGTTGTAAAAGAAACTAAAAGGTTCACAAAATATAGTTTTCCCGCTTGAACACAACAACTACACCGATAATGGCGGATCTAAATTACGTTCAACGAACGTATAGTCACGTGTCCGATGTACTGTATATATTAACTGTATTACGGTACTTTATGCTAATTTATGCTAAATAATATCAACCATATAAATATAGTTTAAACTATAAACACTAAAAGTACTTATCTCAACACCCCCACTCAGACTCAGCTCGTCCTTAACTATGATGAGTCTGACGTGTTGTTGATGTTCTTAATTCCCTAAGAGTACTGTTCTGTGTTTTGCCACTTTCACTCGAGGTAATGATTTCGTCAGAATGTCCGCAGTCATTTCTTCGGTTGGAACATAATGTATCTTTATTTCTTTATTTTCTACCCTTTCTCGAATGAAGTGTAGCTTCGTGTCGATAAGTTTTGACCGTTTATGCATCACGGGATTGTGACACATCTTAATGCAGGATTGGTTGTCTTCTCCAATATCTGTCGCTTTCTCCATTGGGAAACCAAAATCCTTTAGTAGAGCTCGTAAGTAGATTGCTTCTTGTGCAGCAGCCGCCATGGCTTGATATTCCGCCTCCGCTGTTGATAAGGCAACGGTTGCTTGCTTCTTTACCTCCCAACTGATGGCACCTCCATTTCCTTCGAATTTAAAGTAGTATCCAGTTGTCGATTTGCGATCGTTGAGATCCCCACTCCAATCTGCGTCCGAATCGCCAACAATATCACAGCTGGAATTCTTCAAGAATGTTAATCGTAAGTCGGTAGTTCCTTTGAGGTATCTCAGTACGCGCTTTGCTGCCTTCCAATGTGATTCGTCAGGTTTATCGAGAAATCGTGACAGCTGATTAACAATATTTAGAATATCTGGACGGGTTTGTTTGCCAATGAATAAAAGAGAGCCAACTAAACTTCGATACAGCTTCGGATCTACTAATTTCTTTCCTTCGTTACTTTTGACTAGCTTTAGATTTACTTCTCCGGGTGTTGCTACAGCTTTGCAATCACTCATGTTAAATTCTTGGAGAACAGTTTCGATATACTTCGTTTGATCCACTGTAATCTTGTCGTGCGATCGCAGGATTTGCATTCCTAAGAAGCAGTTTAGGTCGCCACGATCATCCATCTTGAAATTTTCATTTAACATTGACTTAATTTCGTTAATTGCTTCTTCGGTCGCTCCAGCCACTACTATATCATCTACCCAGACTAACACATAGGAAAATGTTCCATTTTCTTCCTTTCTTACAAATAGGCAATAGTCGTTGTAGCTTCGTTTGAATCCTTTCTTGAGAAGTAGACTTGTCAGAGCTTCATACCAGTTTTTCGCAGCTTGTTTTAGACCATAGATTGATTTGTTCAATTTGCACACAAGCTTTTGTCCTGAGCTTGCTTTCTTGACAAACCCCTCTGGCTGCTCCAGATAAATTTCTTCTTCTATTTTGGAATGAAGGTAGGCTGATTTCACGTCCATCTGACCAAGATATAAGTCCTTTCGTGCTGCAGTTGCTAATAGAATTCTAAAGGTTTCTGGTTTGCATGTTGGAGCGTATGTGTCAAAGAAATCTATGCCTTCGATTTGAGCATAACCCTTTGCTACGTATCTTGCCTTGAGCTTATCGACTTGGCCGTTTGCTCGATACTTTACTTTATACACCCATTTTCCAGGTAAGACTTGTTGATCTTCTGGTTCATCGACTAATGTCCAGGTATTATTGTCCATTAGTGACTCGTACTCTGCTTGCATAGCTTTTCTCCAGTTTTCTGCATGCGGTGAACGAATTGCGTCATTATACGACTTGGGTTCTTGTATGTTTTCCTCTTTTGTTATGTTAAACGTGTAGGGTAATCCATATCGTTCCGGGGGGCGACGATTTCTGCTTTCTCTGGGGAGTGCGACTTCGTCTTCCTCAGGGTTTTCTTCGACTTGATGTGGATTTTGAACAACAGGTGTCTTATCATATTCCCCCACTCTAGCTTGGACCGGTATCTTTGTGGCTTCGTCATTCGAGCGATCATCTTCAAAATCCATGTTTGGACTCACAAGGTTTGGGTTGTCTGGACTCATTGTTTCTCTGGCTGAGAATGACTGGATTTCGTTCTCTTTGAAGATGACAATACGTGCTTTGATGACCTTTTTCGAGTCGAATTCTTGCAAGATGTAGGCTGTGCTTTTGTCATCATAACCGATAAATTTGGCTTTCACCGATCTCGAATCTAGCTTCTTCATGTTGATCTTTCTTTTCATAACATATGCCGTGCAGCCAAAAACTCGTAGGTGGTTGCGCCTTGGTGTTTTTCCGGTAAAGAGTTCAAAAGGACTCTTTCCTTGGTTGCTATTGGCAGTTACTGTAAGATTTCGTATGCGAGCTGCTCTGGATAAGGCTCTTACCCAGTAGCACTTTGGTAACTTGGCTTGGATTAACAGAGACCGTCCCATTTCAACTACAGTTCGATTGAAGCGTTCTGCAACTCCGTTCTGTTGTGGGGTTTCTGGAACAGTAAATTCTTGCTTTATTTTTGAGTCTCTGCAGTAATCCTTGAATTGCTTCGATGTGTATTCAGCTCCATTGTCAGTTCTCAGTCTTTGAGGTGTTCCATATTCAGCTACATACTCTTTAAATTTTCAAAAGCTTGGGATTTCTTGCTCATAAACTTTACGATGGAATGTTTCGAGTATTCGTCGATAAATGTAATCGCATATCTAGATCCACTGAGGCTAGGTACTTCAAATGGACCGAGTATATCTGAGTAAACGAGTTCGAGAACTTTCTGCGACTTGTTCTGCGTTTCTTTCGGTACAGGTTTACTAGATTGCTTTCCAAGTGCACACGTTTCGCATACTTCCTTCAAATTATCTTTACAGCCAATGGTGCGTTTGACGTCATCCTTGTTTAAGTGTCCGAGCCTTTGGTGCCACAGATTAATACCTCCTTTGATTGATGCTTTATTTGTGTTGTAAGTGGTCGAATGACATGCACTGGACCTTTGAAAGGTAATCTTCAGATAAAATAAACCACTGTCTTCAGTGAGAT